CATCAAAATTATATACCATGATAAAATTTGAAGGTGCACCTTACCTCTACAGCTAAGAGTGCATCTGTATGCCGACTTCACCATTTATATATTGAGACCCAAAAAACATTATCGGACCGGAATAATGTTCGGGTCCAAGATTTGGACCTGTTGAGTCTAAGTTTTGGACTCATACACGGACCCGGATCGGATCTACCTCTCGGGTCATGGGTCAGGTCCGGGTCCATTGCCACCCGTACCTTTAAAGCAAGCAGTACAAAAATTATCTAAGGTACGTGCTCTAGCAAATGTTGGCATAAAACTACAAATCATATATGCCATGTTAAATGGGGTAACAGGTGGGCCGCATGTACCAAGTGTCGCGTTTGAATTTGTTGTTGACCCTAAAAGTGGGGTTTGAAAAAAAAAACACTATTCTTGTGAAGATCAAAGACTAAATGGGTGTACACAAAGCAACCTCATCTTGTGACTTTCAAAGGCCCGGCCCATGCTGAACTTGGTGTCTGGGACCCCTAAAAATGGATGTATTGCTTCTTTTCTTGTGAAAATCAAGGCCAAGCTCGAAGATCAAGCTTCTAGATCTAGATCCTGTTTTTTTAATGTTCTAGAAAGGTATTTCATATTGTAAAATGAGCATATAGTTGGGAATAGTCATGAGAGAGACGAGGTCAAATTCCCTACAAATGTGAATATAGATAAGGAAAATTGTTTCATGGGGCAGGGACCGCATTTCTACATTTATAATCTCCGAGGTATAGAGCATCCATCTTAAAGATGGATGCAAATAGGTGGTCCATCTAAAAACAATTGAAACTAACAGTTTAAATGTTTTGTTAATAGAATTATTTCTTTTAATTTTCAAATTTTGTTTATTGTTTTATATTCATGATCTCCATGTTAGAGATTACATGTCCTTAAAAATTAAGTCAAAAAATCCATCTAAAAAATAGATTTTTAAAAGGTGACTCATTTCTACATATACTCATAGAAACCGTGTCCTTATTCAATTGGAGCTAAGCTACTGAGGAAATGAGTGAGGCCCAAATTTTAGACCCAAGCGAAAAGTGCAAGTATAGCTTGTCTACAAATATTTGTTTTCTTTTTTGATATGTGTCGTTTTATAAGGTGGCTCTCTTATTTGTAGAAGTAAAGTTGAGATGTTCAATATTGTTTATTTTAAGAGACTCACAAATCACTTTTAATACAAGGAGGTCACAAATCATTTTTAGTCATTAGATGTGAAATTTAATTGATGAAAATATGTCACAACATAAAAAAATTATTTTGGACACTTTGCCCAAACAATAATGCAACTTCAACGACCCAATTTCAAATCTAATGGTCAATGATGATTGTATCATCTCTAAAACAAAATAAATGGTCTTATTGTATACATTTTCTTATCTTAATTGGATGCATAAATCTCAAATATCTTGCTAGACAATGTTAAAATTTGGCATGTCACTTGAGATAATGTCAAATCTACACTAAGGCTTTATAAAAACAAAGAAAAGCCTCACCTTGAATCCTCATCCGAAAAGCATTTTGGACATTAAAAATCTCTATGATGGCTTTAAAATCAGTTTACAATAATGATTATGAAATTTGAAGCTCAAAAAAAGATATAGATCTTGTAGAACTGTGAACACTTATTTTTCGAACAAAATAGATAGTTTAGATAATATGTTATAATACTAGCCACTTTTAGGGTTTGAAATCCTTTATTTTTTTACAACAATAATTGTTAAGGCTAAGAATATCGATTTGAAGGTTTTGCAATGTTAGAACTATAATTTTCGGTGAGTTTGAGGTGAGGTTTTACTTAGTTTGATAGGGTTATAGCCCTATCAAAACATTTTCCATTAAAGAAATGGGTGATGTAAGTTACTATAGCCTTTCTTCTACTGTCGCCTTCTATAAGAGTGGCAACGAGCCGGGGCCAGCCTTGGTAATGGCCCGACTATTATTCCTTTGGAGCCGGGCTGGGCAAAAAATAAACGAGGAAAAATAAAAGAAAAAAACCATAACAAAAGAGGGCCCGGCCAGGCTGGTACTAGCCCTTGCTTGGCCCTTAGGCCATAGTTCATAGCCCATGCCCAACTGTTTTTAGGGCGAGGCTGACATGGCCGGGCCGGGCTGCCACGCCCATTGTCAGTCGTAGCCTTAGATAAACTTTTCCCCTAATATATTTTTTTTCTTGTTTCATTCCAAGCGATATAAGCACCCCTAGAGGACCCTGGAGTGCGATCTACAAAAGCGAATGCCACCTAATCCTGAATGAGTTTAATCTATCAAGAAAAAAAGAAGAAGAAGAAATTTGAATGAGTTTAATTAGTTCAACTAATGGTCCATTTAATTTAATGTGACAAGAGATTTAGATGCCAACTAATTTGGTGGGCGAAGAACCCACGTCTTTCTATTTTAAGCTCTGTTACCTAATTAACTCCCAACTTTTTTTTTTCTTTTTTTTTTTGGGTTAATTCAGTGGTGTGGGGATGTTTCATTTTCTTTATAAGAGGAGTGGATAGGATACATCTAACATCCCTTTTGTGATACTTGCCAATTCTTAGCGGAACATCTCTTATATTTGCCTTCTTCCACAAGCATGAGTGTTCATGGTAAACTCATCACATATCTCATCCATAACAGATAAAGTTTTAAAAGTTGACTTGGATTCTTTCCTTGTTCTGATTTATCTAGAACTGAAAAGTTTGCTGTACTATTTGATTTAATGTACCGAATCGGGGGATTGTGAGCTTCAGGCAATTTTTCATATTTTTTATATTTTTGATCGTTTTACGCCCACTCTTGACGAGTTCCCGAGTGGGCACCCAGTCACTAGTTCTTGAGCACTGGATACATCTAGTTTGGAACCATTCCCGAAGTTTGAAAGGGAAACGAAGCTATGAGATTGGACATTTGTTTCTCTTATTTCCAAAGATTTTTTGATCGAATCCCATAAAATGTGAGTTTTACTTGGAAAAAAATAACAGGTTCCTCAAACTTTATTTAGCATGTAGATCTCGTATTCTATAGATTTTCTTGAAGAGTTAATATTCAAAATTTGTATAGGAAAAGTATACATTGAGACTTTTGGTACTATAAGATTAGTAACCTATAGTATAAGGTCACAATCATCTTTATCAATCAGACGTGAAATTTGACATCTTGATGTGTGCCATAAAAATCCAATTTTTTTTTTTTTATTATTGGACTTCGATAGATCCTCAGCTGTCAAGTTTCATGTCTAACGGCTAATAATGCATGTGGCCTTTTTTATCTAAAAAATAAATAATATTATTCTACACTTCTAAGTATATATTGGATAATTTAGTGGGAAAGACAAGCCCTTAAGCCCCTACCCATTTTTTAAGTAGATTAGGAACTAGCTTTTGGAAAGTATTAATGGATAGTATTAACAAGTGGGAATGAAAATCACAACGTGATAATTAAGATGTGAGGCGATACCACCACGA